TCACGTATCTTATGGTCGGAACTATTGCTTGATGCTTTTCATGGACACTGAGGAATTAGTGTACAGGAAACTCATCAAAGGGTTTTCATTAAGGAATTAAGAAAACTAAATTGGCCAACTGATGAATTAAGGTTAATAACTATTATAGCAGAATAATCATACATGGTCTTTACTCACATCGTCTCCACTCCCCTAACACTGTTCTTAGATTGATTTATAAGTCTTTATTTACTTGTTATATTACTCTGCTACCAAACAAACCACTAGACCTTTTGTTCCTTTGAATCCTAAAAATCCCGTTAATTACTACGCAGTCCTCGAGATCGATACTTGGGACTTTTCCGTTATTACTACAATTGGTAAAAATAGGACACTTGCTATTTTCCCGATCAGGTATAAACTCTAGACAAAGATTTAGGTTTAACATTCACGTGAGTATCAGTTCTTAATGCTCTGTGTGGGTTTTGTCGCGTGAGACAACACCAATGAGATAATACGGTTGGCCTCTCGACTTTGCATTAGACATAACCTCTGTTATGGGTGATAAGTGATGATATTAGATGAACATTTGAGTTGTGTATAACATATCAAAATAATTCATGTGCTATCAATTGATGAGATCCAAACCCAACATGGCTCCGTTTATATTTTCAATCTTTACTTTATATTTTTTCGTCTTTATATTTTCTACCTTTATCTATTGTATCTTTCATCTTTCAACCATTTTATAACCATAAGCTTAGAAATGTAGAGACTGTTGAACGATATTCTTTCCCTCACACCGATCCCTGTGGAGACGATATAAATCCCAGAGGAAATCCTTCCAAAACTAAATTTTTGCTTCTTGTCGCTTTACTGCAGTTCGAACAATAGGTAAGTAAAGGCATACACGAGCATGTCAAAAGAGTGAAGTGCGATTAAAATAACTTCCACGAAGGCTGAGAATGTCATAATATTACAACAAAAATAATGGGCAAAGCCCACGATCCAAATTTTACAAAATCACGACGCGCAAGCCCGAATACATAAAAACAAAACAAACAAAGCTAAATGTTGTGCTCCACCTCATTGTTGAGATCTTCCCTTTCCTCATAATCATCAAAGGGATAGCCGGGAGGAGGGACTATTTGACCATTAACCACCTTGTACAAGAATCTGGTCCCCTCAATAACGATCTCGACTCCGAGTTTACGATTTGGATCTGAGCCACTGCATTTTCAAAGCTCATCTTAACAACATCCATATAATCCTGCTCGAGACTCCTAATCTGAGAAACCAGCTCCGCATGGGTTAGTAAGGCTTTCACTTCAGCAGCCTCACCCTCGGTGGGGGCCGCAACAGCTTCCAAGGCAGAAATCTTATCCTCGAAGCTCTTCTTCTCGGTGGCATGCTCGAGCATCAAAGCAGTCATGTCCACAGTTAACTTGGTCAGTTCCTCTTTCTTCTCACGCAGCTCGGTAGCAATCTCACTCTGGATTTGATACTTCTCCTTATAGTCGTCAAAAGAGGTCTCCGGCCTGAGCACCTCCACTTCAAGCTTCGCATTTGTTGCCCGCAACTTCTCCAGCTCATCAGCAGAGCATGTATCATCATCATCATTATTAAGAACCAAGGCCACTTCTAGGACCCTCATCAAAGCGGCCGCATCCTGAACCAATGAATTTTTCATGCCCGCCGCATTGAGGCCCAGGATGGCCGAAGACTCTTCCCGAGGCACAACTAGAGAATGTCCCCCCTCAAAGAAACCCTTGTTAGAATAGTAAGGAGGCAACACGAGCTTGTCCTCTACAACATCATATGTGAGATCCATATCTATGGGATCCTTCGCGCACTGCCTTTTTTTGTTCGGGTGTCCTGCTAAGGGGAAGACTGGTTGCCCCCCTGTGAAGAAGAAGTACCGAGACCGGAGTCACCCTTGGACTGGTTCAGGAGTTGGACAATCCAATTCTTAGAGCCCCTCTTTCCACCCTTTGCATTATTCTCTTTGTTCATCGCCATCTTGATCACACGATCTTGAAGGTCTGTCATTTTATCTGCGACAAATGACATGCATAGGTTAATATACCTAGAAAGAATAAGCATACAAACAAGTTAAAAGGAAAAACAACTACCTAAAAGCAATACAACATCCTCAACAGTATCACACTCGAGGAGCTCCTTAGTGTTGATATATCGAGCCTTATAAAAGGGTTGGTCATGCTCGTCGAGGACAACCTCCCTGTTCTTAGTCTCCCACTGAGTAGGAGCGAAGTTGTCAACGAAATACATAAGCTTCTCGAAGCCATGTTGGTCCTCATGAGTCTAACTCGTTAGACTTAGTAATATAATAATATGTACTCTCATCAAAATGGGCGCTACACCAGAAAATGGGGAACCTGGAGACCATCCTCATCACCTCATCCTTGTCCTCATCACGATGCACACTCCCATCTTCTTTGCTTATAACCATGCGCTCGAACACAAAATTGATGGTTGCTCACGTCACATGCTTAATTATATAATACCTATCCTTAAAGTGCGAATGGAGTCCGTGAACATTTTGAACAACTTCTTCAGCTGCTTAAGGGACAACCAACTGTGCTTCCCCTTTAAAGGATTATCGTTGAAGGTGGAAACAGTGGAAGAACAGAGGAATGATGGCGCCGATCTCAAGATATTGACACACGATCTCGAAGGCCCGAATAAACGCAATCGATTTCGGATGCAGCTGAGAGGGCGTTAACTCCAACCGATCAAAAACGCCCACATGGAGACCGCTGAACGAGAATCGAAACCCCAGTTCTTTGAAGGCATAATCATACATAGAAAAACGGTTCCCCGAGAAACACGAGCAAACTCATTCCTCCCGCTCAGTTTTATAAACCGCTCAGTTCTTTGAAGCCTCCAGATACTCTGCGCCTTCTTCGACGATCGTAAACGCACTCTCCAGGAAGTCAACAAAACTTGAGGCTATCCGTCGGGGTTCCGGCCCGATCCAATCTAATTCAAGGTCGTTGATTGTGTCGACCAAGCGAAGGCCCTGAGCACTACGAGCTATACAAACCTGAAAAGCAGAGGACAACAGTGAATTCGCCGATCAAATCAAATCCACCCTTCCACTGCAACTCAAGTGAAAGGGTGAAGAGAGGCACGAGAATGCTGACCTCAACCAAAGCCCTTATTCAACGGCAAGCCAGGAAATCATGAGGACCTTCTCCTTGACAGAGAGGTCTTAGTCGAATCACCAACAAAACCACGGGGAAGATCCATCAGCGCAAGTTCTATTCACCACCTTAACGGTGGCGCCAGAGTGACTATCAGAAGATATAAAACACGAAACACTAACTTTCCTACTCAAAATTACCCTTATTCATAGGCCATCACTTCACATTTAATAGATGTGACGCGTGGCTTGAAGGGACAAATCATTTGTCTCTTCAAGTCTCATCAATCTTCCGGATTCCAATACGTCGAGCATCTCTTGTTGAACACAAGCGACAAACTTTCACATTCCCTCACGAACATGGCCTCAGAGAAAAACTTGAAGCAAATTTACAAGTAGCATGATAACTCGCGAGCAAAGCCAAACGCTCCATGCGAGCGCAAGCTAAACTCTTGACCGCAATCCTTTACAACGTGTCTTCCCCGAAAGTGAAATCCAACGAGTTACGAGCAAAACGTCGTTCTCGCAGACGCAAACTCACGAACAAGAAACGCCCGTGGTGAGCACCGTCTACGACAACGCGAGTTCGCAATCGCGAGCCCGAATGAATGCTTTCATCGCGCAGAGTCCCTTGCTCCTCATTGACACACAAACTGACTCTAAGTCATTGATCATTTGCCTATGAGCAACGACTTAGGGGACTCCTATTCTGGACTGACTTGTAGTTAACCCTCCGTCGAGCACAGTCCAATTCAATTTTACGTTGAGGACGACCGAGAGTACTGGCCCAACCCTTTGTGGCCAATGGAGAAGACGTTCCCCACGTGCTCCTCACCCGAGGATACGTCACTAACTGAACCCGCACACCTCGCGGAACCATTTTGTCCTTTGTAATGGGCAAGTCCGTCCACTATCCATGAAATGTGGAGCGGTTGACCCAAGACGATGAACGCGAGTTGTTCATCCTTACTTTCACGTAGGAATCCCGACAATCATCTATTGTGGGTCTGAACACTCAGCCCATAACGAAGACCATTGGCCAAACGCTGGGGGCTCACTATAAAAACCTTCCTCTGCAGAAGGATCAAAGATTCTATTCTTTAACCCTTTCTTACTTACCTCTTCACTCGAACTGACTTAAGTATCAAAATGCCTGCAGATACAACCCCCATTCGTCGATCGTTCAAGACTATGGATGTGTTGTTGGTCACTCACTTATTTTGTACAATTAATCGGAATATACATAATTAACTTTTTTTAATAAAAACTTTTATAAATCATATCTCTCTATATTTTCTATCTCAATTCTTATATTTTATTCATCTATTTATTTTATACTAAAAATAGAAAATATAGGTAAGTGTTATGGAATATGAAAAATTGAAATTCTTTTCCACTATTTTTTCTTAAACTTCTTCCGTCCAACATTTCAACTGTTTATAAATTCTAAAAACAATTACTGTCCTCGACATATCCTTAGATGTACACATAATATTTTATGTTGTATGAAACTACATTTCTTTTAAGAAAAACAACGTCCTTAAAGGCACATTTCTAAAAACACATTACATTTTTTTCTTTAACAAATACAATGACTATTCCAACAGAGAAAAAATACAATTTCATTAAAATCAAATTTATATAAGACACAAAATAATATTACATCCGTTTCTATATATAAGAGACAATTCATTTTTTTAGATTTATTGAATAATTAATGTATTTGATCAATTTATAAGCTAGATATATTTATTATTCAATAAACCTAAAAAATAAATTGTCTCTTATAAAAAGGAACGGAGGTAATATAAACTAATTAAAATCAAAGGCATCTCACTCAAATTACTTTCAAATTACTTCATTCTTTCAAAGACAACGAACCAAGTTGATCTCCAACTTCAGATCTGGATGCAGCGTCATGGACGAGGACTTGCAATGCCTCAGAGACTTTTTGTTTTAAGTCATCTGGAGATTCAATAAGATGAATTACTTCGGACCGATCCATTTCAAGCAACATTCCTGTCACCTTTGCTGTATATTGGTTTGGTGTAAGATGTTTCACAAGTGGATACAAATGTTCACCCAGCATCTGTTAATTCAAAACAGTGCATAACAAAAATTACATTTTTCATCCATCATTAAAATTATATGTATATGTTATTTCTATCTCTTTCAGGAAAATGGAAAGAAAAATAGAAAATATGCAATTTAGTTCTTATTTATAATAATGCGTTTAAAATTCAAATAATGCATATGGTTTTATCATTTAAATTTTCAAACTAACTTTATGGTATTCATTTACTCTAAAAAAACAATATAAAGTTCCTACATATAAAAATACCAACTTATACATACCATACGCTGGTTTTCTGGGGTAGCAGAAGCTAAATCTGATGCAAGTGATGTAGACCTCGGACGCTGATTATCAATAGAAGCTGCAGTAACTACTGGACCATCAAATGTCCTGGGCATCATTCCAGAAGTATTCACACCATTTTGATTGTTGGCCATATATCTATAAACTTGGTTGGAGTTACGTTGTAGCATCTGCTTTCAATCAAAATATTCTTTAATACAATAAAGTAAATCATTTTCAAAAAGATCAAACTTTAAATTTAAAGAATAATTACTTGATTTTGCTGCACGTGTTGGAGGTTTCCATTTCGTCGAGCACCTATACTTTGTCTTTGAAGTTGATAGGGCATAGCAAAATTTGGAGAAACAACAGGTCGCATTCCAGGCAATATTTGCTGCTGGAAACCAAATCCAGCAGGCTGAGGTGGTATGAAACCAGGTGTGCCTTGACCGTAATATAACTGTTGAGGGGCTAGTCTCGGAGACCCTGGATGATATCCAGAAATTCCTGCAGCCAGAGGTGCCATTCCAACGGGGGCCCGAATTTGGGCAAATTGAGCCTGCGGAAAAATAGATTTGTTTATATGCCCTTTGATTTTATGAACATATTACTAAACACAATCAAGTAACCATTAAAAATAAGAAAAGTAAAGAAGCATTTAAAGAGGAAAGGGTATAGCAATAACAACCAAGTCTTATCTCATTAAGTGGGGTCGGCTATATGAATCAATTTTCGCCGTTAAGGGTGATATGTCAAATTTTAATATGCCACTAGAAATCAGAAAGAAAGGTAAAATAGTAGAACTCAAATAACCAGTATAATTTTTTCAAAAAATCTATAGGTTTAAATATGCATTTGGTACTTGCAAATATAGGTCACTTTGCTTTTCCTTATTGTTCTTCTGTTTCACTCACTCTAAAATTAGTTTATATTTGAATTGGTTCTTGTAATATGTAGAACATTTCATTTTTGTCTCTCTCTAATATCAGTCACATAAATCACATGTATTTGCAAGAACTAAAACCAAACAAACAAAATTACTTAGACTGAAACCAAAAATAAGAAGAAAAAAAATTGAAGAGACTATAATGATACTCCACAAAAAGCACATATATATAAATTACAACCATAAATTAATATTTTCACAAAGGCCATCAAAGCAAGTCTACTTAATTATAAGCCACAGCTAGTCGGTTACTTAATAATGAAGAAAGTATTAAAATCACATATGAACAATAATATGAAAGAAGAGCATCACCTGCAATTGGGCCTTCCTCTCTTCTTTGCGTTGGGCCACAGCAACAAACAGAGGCTTTCTTCCAACCAACTTCCCATTCATTTCATTCAACTAAACAAAAAAACGATTGAAAGGTCAAGCATCCATTATGATAAGGAAACAAGTAGCTTAGTCACGCCTCTTTGAATACTTACCGCTTTGCTTGCTTCCTCCGGCGTAGAGAAGGCCACAAAACCGGAACCCTTACTGTGACCATGTGAATCCAACATCACCTAATTATAACAATAAAAACAACATGAAAAAAGGTCAAATTGTCACACTCAAACAAGGTCACAGTTGGTTGCACTTGTTCACAAACAAATAAATAAATCCAGAGAGACGTACAGTAAGAATCATTTTTAACATACCTTGCAAGAAGTTATAGTTCCAAATTCAGAAAATAGATCCTTCAACTTTTCATCGCTAAAACTGTCATCAAGATTTTTCAAGTACAAATTAGCCCCTTGTAATTTCTCATATCGGCTAATTCTTTCTTGTTCAAATTTGACTCTCAATTCATGCTCTCGTTCCGCTTTTCTCTGAGCTCTCCCGACAAATAAAACCTTGTCATGATTGATGGTGGTTCCATTTAACTTCTCAACTGCAGTAGCAGCTGAATCTGGACTCTGGAAATTCACAAATCCAAACCCTCTAGATTTCCCATTTGTATCTCTCATGATTATTGCACTGGTTATTGTTCCAAAGGGGCCAAATATATCCTTCAGTTCTTCATCATTTATTGTTTCCGACAAATTTTTCACATACACATTAGTAAACTTGGGTGATCCATTTGTCCTAGTCCTTTCCTGATGGCGAACAAAAGATCCAACATATACTTGTTTATCATTAATTAGCATTCCATTCAATCGTTTGATAGCAATCTTTGCATCTTCTTCATTATCAAACTGCACAAAACCGTGTCCTTTTGACTGACCACTACTGTCAAGAACCACCTTACAAGAAAGAACAGAGCCAAAGGCAGCAAAAGTATCATGTAATGCCTTGTTATCAATACACGCGTCCAAGTTCTTAATGAACACATTGCCTGATCCACTTTTTCGAACACTTGGATCTCGTTGAGAAAACATAATACGAATGGGCTTTCCATTCAAAGGAGTGAAGTTTAGAAATTCTTTAGCATTGGCCGCTGAAAAATCAGTTCAATTCAAAGACACAACCATAATTCAAATCCCAATCAATAAACTGTTCATCCATAGACGCTTGGAATATTGTTATGTTATGAATGCAATTCATCCATAGACGTTTGAAATATTGTTATGAATATAAATTGAGAATATACAGTATAGCAGATTCAAGATGAAAAATGCACACAAATTTTAGGTGGACTGTTCAGTGTGAGCTATGTCTACGGCCAGTCATACAATTTCTACTTTGAGCAATGCACAATAATATGTCATGCCATCACATATTAGCCACATTCAAGCATTTGGAACATTGGCAATGATTATATCAAGAATGGATGGTCTAGAATTCAATGCAATATTTATTTTACTTTAAAATTTATACTAATCTTGATCCAATTGCGTGAATGCGGAAAAATTGTGACTCAATATATTGTTTAAATGAATGAATTAAAATAGGTTGATTATAATTTGGGCTGGACCATTAACATATATCTCAACATTAGTCAATAAATGCGACTCTAAACAAAGAAGATATCATCCTTGCAATTAGTCATTCTAGATTCATATTCAAGGAAGCTATGATATTTATCTCAACAGATTGTGGTCGACACAGTGTGAATTAGCAACAATTTCTTTTTCATATAAAAACGGTTAATAAAGATACAGGTTCCGATACCGTTTTGGCGCAAACTTTTCCACAAACTTTTCACAGTAAATGAAGGCTTTTTAGAAGCTTTCCTCCTACTACTCAATCTTATAGACGGAAAAACACATTTAATGAAATAAAATTGATGATCATAATGAATGATGATAACAATATAAGGATGATTAATCAGTAACAATAAAAATAATTCAGTCTAACACACACAAAAATCAGTATCAATAAAGATCAAACAAATTCGTTAACATAAAATTTAACTTTCAACGAAAATAAAATGCAGAGTGATACGCACCATCCTGAGCGTTGGCGAAGTTAACGTAAGCGTAACCAAGAGATGATCCCGTGGTCTGATCCCTGCAAACCCTGATCGACAGAACCTGAGCCACTGGGCGAAACAGCTCAAAAAGCTGTGCCTCGATCACACTCCCTTCGAGATCGCCTACGTAAAGCGATGCATTCGCAAACGGTCCTCCGCCTAATGCCGCCGTCATCGGAGTCGCAACTGTCGCAGAGTGAGCAATCGGTGAAGAAATTGCAGCCGCCATTCCGTTTTTCCCGCGAAAAATAACTGTAAATTGACTGAGATGAAAGTGAGCACTGAGAAGAAGAAAACGGTTAGCAGCAAACGTGGATGAAAATTTGGAAGAAAATCAAAAGCAAACCCTATATTTATAAAATTTTACGGAAATATTAATTTTTTGTTTTTTTCTTTTCAGTTTTTTTGGTTGTGCTGTATCCGAGATTAGAGCGTTAGAAGAAGAACGATGAATTTGGGCTTTTATAGTTTATACAAACAACGCGGGCGTGGAATGCGCAATATCCCGTTTTCCTTGTGAATTTCTCGGAATTAAATTCGTGGCATTTTCGGAAAGATGACATGGCACTTTTTTTATTTATAAGAAAAACAACTTATATTAAGATATCATTAATAAATAAAATAATTGCTAAGACTGTTTTTGTAATTTCATCAATTCACACGTTAATGAACTAAAACTATTCGTCCAATATATAAAATTGAAGAAGTTTTATCAGGGGAACACGTTGCAATCACCTAACCTTTACTAGGAAATAAGCACCCATATCTGTTTTATTTTCTCCTAACATAATAAATAAATAAAATAGTGCATAGCCTTCAATTGAACCGAAAATCAATGATGAAAATGGTCTTGTAAATTGCAGGTGGATTAAAACTAAAATATAATTGAAAAAATTATAATTAATAGTTTAAAATTATTCAAAACATTGAGTAATAATATAACCAAATTCAAAGAATTGTATTTAAAAAAGTATTTACTTTTTTGTTTGGATGGTTAGAGAATTGGGAAGTGAAAAGAAAGTAACGGTAAATTTCCTTTTTGACTAAACAGCTTTTAATTTATCAAAAAGGACTTATCACAACACAAAACTAGAAACTTGCAAGGAAAATACTGCGTATTTGATAGGATATGATTAAGATGGAGCAATATTGCGGAATGTTCCATGGATAGGAAAGTTTGCCTGATAGATTTATGTGTAATAAAAAATAAGTAAAATATGTCATGCACTCTATTAAATTAAATATTTGTAACAAGATACTTGTAATAGGAAAGTTTGCTTGAATGGTTAGGCTTTGACTCAGATTGGTTTACTGCTAGCTCAAACGATATTTACCCAAGTAATATCATTTCAAATCTCTTTGATGAATTTAAAGAAAAATTATTAGATTACATCTTTTAACGGAAGATGTGTCTCACAGAGTCATTAAAAGTTCAAATTTAAATTGATTTAAATAAAAATTGTAAATCATATAAAAATATTTATAATATATATATATATATATATATATATATATATATATATATATATATATATATATATATATATATATATATATATATATATATATAGTCATCATGAGGAACATTTACGTTGGATCAAGAGCTACACCTAAGTGAGATAAGCACTACATATTTTTTTAAATTTTTAAGATGATAGATGCATGAGTCATCTTATTTATAAAATGTTCAACTTTCACTTTTCTAAGCAATGTGAAACTTCCAACTCACACCTGTACACAAAATTTCCTCCTCAAATGTGAGTCTATCCACTATGCTCATTCTCAAACGAAAACTTTTTCATCCACATACACTTGTATCGTCGTTGCGGACACTACAACGGAACACGACGTCTGACCACCACATTGTCAGGAAGAATTTCAATACAAAGAGTCGGTTCCTTAATTGGACCATCGACTCTGATACTATTGTTTCTCGAGTCATCATGAGCAACATCCATATTCGTTCAAGAGCAACATACAAGTGAGATAGACACCACATATTCATCCAAAACCTTAAGGTGATAGGTGTATGTGTCATCTCACTTATAACGAGCTCAACCTCCATTTTTCTAAACAATGTGAGACTTTCAACTCACACTTGTACACAACAATATATGTGTGTGTGTGTGTGTGTGTGTGTGTGTGTGTGTGTGTGTGTGTGTATGATGGGTCCTATAAGTTATTCAGTTGTAACAAGTTGGTTCTTTAAGGTTTTTTTGCTACAAGTTATTCCTTTAAGTTACATAACGTCTACACTATTCCCATTTTTTAAAAATTTTTGTCCCAAAAATACAAATTTGGCATTTATGTTGATGAGGTAGTTGTAACGTCGATTAGATGGTTGTAACGTTGATGAAATATATTTGTTTTTTATTTAACTTCAATTAATTAAATAATGACAAAGTATTAAATTGCATCCCTAAACGAAATCCCTAAATCTCAAATTGAGAAAGGGAAGGAGCAGTGAAAAACATGAAACCCTAAACGTGAAGGAGAAGAGTTACGAACGCAGAAGGAATGAGAGGCATTTAGGCACGAAGGGGGAGAGTTACACAAGTAGGAACGACTAAGGGAGAAGAAAGATTCGAAGGAGAGGAACGCAGAAGCAAAGCATTGAACGTTGAATTATGTGTTACTTTTCATAATTTTTTGGTTCACATTCTAGGGATTGTAGGTGAGTGTCTAGTTTCTCAATATTGGTAGGGTGATGTAGAATAATGTATTTTTTTCTTTATTGAAGTCTAGGATTTTGTATGTTGTCTCTTATATCTATATTAATTTCTACATCGTACAACTCTCTTTCCCAAATGGATGTTTTTTATGTTAACTTTCATCACAGGGGATCGTTTGATGATAGGGTATATATGTAGGAGGGGAGTGTCAAATTGAAAGTGTGATGGTGATAGATGGAGTTATTTTAAAATTTTGGGTGTTGTTAAAGAAATGGGGTATCCAAGGGTACTTGAAATGTGGTACGATTTTGTCAGTACATCAAAGGAGTTAGTAAATGACTTTGGTGCAATAGAACTGTTAAATTGGTACAAGACTAATGAAAAGGTAGACATATACATAGTCCACCATATTTCCCAACATGATGTAGTAAAAGTACTTGATGTCCAACTTGTCGTAACTTATGTCCAACCCACTAAACAACAAACTAAGGGCCTATCTGAGATACTTGAGACCCTGCCTGAGATACCTAAACAAAAGTGATAATAGTTCCTTATGGTGTAGGTTTGATGACTCTGATGATGAGGTATTAAATAATAGAATTGATGAGGTATTGGTAGGAGTATGAGGGTTTGTTGTTGGCCAAAATAATCAACAGGTGGATGAATTAGAAGTGGATGAGTCACCTCAAGGTAATAAAAGAAAGGGTTGTAGACCAAAGAAAAAGAAGACCAAATGAAGTTCCAACAAGAAAAAGGGAAGAACAAAAAAAACAAAGGGTTGATGAAGGAATTTTTGTAGATAAGGAAATATCAAGTGAGGAAGATACACTTGATTTTGGGTTTAATGAAATGAAGAAAGGTAAAATGGTACATAGTGGTATGTCAGATTCATATTATATATCGGAAAAGTTGGAAACTAATAAGGATATGAGTAGTAATTATTCAGATGAAGGTACTAAGTTAAAATACCCATCATTTGCATTGCCTAAGAAGTTTGCTGACTATAAATGGGAATTGGGTACCATGTTCTCAACAAGGGAAGAGTTAAAAGATACAATTGCAAATTATGTTATTAGTACTGATAGACATTTACACTTTATAAAGAGTGATAAAACAATGGTTAGAGTGGGATGCAAGAAAGGGTCTGAATAGGTTGCATTATGTTCCAAATTACAAAATGAGGATACATGGAAAATGAGAAAACTAAATGACACACATACATGAAATAGGTAGTTTAATGTATGGATGTTTAACACTAAGTGACTTGGTAAGAAGTTGTATTTAACTGATAGAGTTAATCCAGTTGTGAAACTTATTACAATATGTGAGAAAATGCATGAGAAATATAATACTTGTATGAGTAGGATGAAGGCTTATAGGGAAAGAAATGCAACACTTAATTATGTTGAATATTCATTCAAGGAATAATATCTTAGATTGTATGACTACACACATGATTTGCTGAGATCAAATCCAAACAGAACAATAAATTTAAAAGTCCAACTAACTGAACCACAAACTGAGGAAAATGAGCAACAACATGAGAACTATGTCAACAGACCATTATTGCCAAGTTTTCAACGACTATATATGTGACTTTATGATTTTAGGAGAAGTTTTCAAGTCTAAAGACCAATTATAAGAGTTGATGGATGTTTTTTCAAGGCTCGTTATGGAGGGAAGATTCTTGCTGCAGTAGGTACCCTAATAATCAAATGTTTCCCATTGCATTGGTTGTGGTTGAAGCAAAGACTAAAGACGCATGAGCTTGGTTCCTTAGACAAATCATATATCCAACCAATGTGAAAACTTATGGGAAGAGACCTCATACCCCCAATACGACCACCAACATTAATAAGAGCACCAAGGAGGCCTAAGAGAAGAAGAAACAAAGATGCTAATTAAAAAAAGATACAAAAATTGTTAATATGAAAGGGATGCCAAATAAATGCTCAGTGTATGGTAAATATGGCCACAACAGTTCCTTATTCCCAAATGCATCAACACCAAGATAACCTAAATAATCCCAAAGATAACCAACCTAATCAACACAATCATAAGCACAACTAACTCCAAGAGTTCAAACTAGACTATCACCAAGAAGAATCCAACATACAAATTCACAATCCCAAACACAACCAACCACGAGACTTAAAACTAGACTATCGCCAAGAAGAACCCAAACAAAACCAATAACAAAACTTCAAACAAGGTTGTCACCAAGAAGAACCTAAAACTAAGTTACACAAGGCCAAACGCAACCAACCGTAGACTACAAACAAAGGTATCACCAATAAAAGGCAATACAACATTTCAGAAACCAACTGCAGTATTTCAACCACCAACAAGAACCACACTTAAGTTGTCCATAAAGAGAAAAAACAATTAGGATGTTGTTTTTTTTATTTAATTAGGATCATGTATTTCGGATGGTGTTTTTGTATTTAGGATGTTATGTTGCTGACTTAGAAATATTTATTTTATATGGCTACTATGTATTTTGGATGGATACTTAATGTATGTTGTTTGGTTTAATGAAGGATATTAAGGTTTTGTC